TTTTTAGTCAAAACATTTGATACTAAAGATCTGACTTCTTCCTCTGTTTTTTATTTTTTATAATTGTTTGATGATTTAACTAATATTTCGTTATCATTTGTTGATTGTAACTTGTAGTTACATCATTTAATTTCAATTTTTAAGACTGACAAAAATGTTTAGAAAACTTATATATTTCACTATTTTGAACAATGTACTCTTCTTATAAATCTTGTGATGGTATTCATATTTATTTTTGGTAAAATATTGAATTTATTGTACAAACAAATATATAATACAGTATGTATGTAACGATTACTAATTTTCTTTTATAATGAATCTATTGAAATTCTGATTATTGGAATTTTTTAATTATTTAAATGTTTTCGTGCTACTTGATGTGTTCTGAACTGATAAAAACTTCTGTTTTTGAAATGAGAACACTCGTTTTTTCTGTAAATACTTAAGATAATTTTTTTGAAAATGTACTTAATTTAAGATTTGAACTAGTAGTTCCTCCGACTGCTTTTCAATTTTTTAAATGTTTATATTAACGATAAATGATAATTGATAATAGTCCTGAAAACTGGTTTTACAATTATATAAAATATTAAAATAGGTGAATGTATTAATGTAGATAAATTACACTATATTACACTATTTTACACTCTCCAGAGCACTCTCGTATTTTCCAAATCTTTGTCACTACTAACCTTTAGTAGTTACCTGCACTAAGTTAATTGACTTAAAACCTACTAATTCAAATTTTGATATGCTACTTCAAAATTTTCAGGAAATGTTTATGTTAAATTATTTACAGAAAAATGGAGATTGGATTTTGAAAAATATTAGTGAATATCTTCACAAGCAACAACTATTCTTAAGTAGTAAAAAAAAGCCTCAAAAAAAATATGGTATTTAAGTATAATATTTCAAAGTTCTAAAAATCAGATTTTAAATAACTGCATGATTGATGAATATCAATCTATAGTCAATATTGCTTTTGACTTACCACAGTTTTTAAGTTTTTTCTTGGTTGGTCCATCAACCAATTTTACTTTAAAATTTAACTCAAAATCATTATCAGTAAAATGTTCTGAACATACAAGAAATGTATCAGGATTAAATTGATCGGCTCTTTTACATCTAAGTACCCAAATTTTTCTTCTCCTATCAATTGGGAATGTAAAAAATGATACATCTTTCCCTTCTTTTATTGATTTAAATTGATTATTTTTACAAACAGCAACAGCACAATTCATTTCAGGCATTTTGAATTTTTTTAAATCTTATTGAACAGTAAAATGTACTAAAGTAAAAATGAACAGATTTTCTATTTATAATCTTGTTTTGTTCATTTGTCATTATCAAATGTCAATTTGTTATTAGAATAGACAATAATATTATTATAAAAAACAACACTGGAAAAAGTCTAAGCAATTAAGACGATTTTTAATAATTTGTAAAAGGTTTGCAAAATTAATTT